ACCTGTTGCAACACAGAAAATAACTACTTGCTTTTGAACACCTTCTGGTTTTAAGGATAAATCCATAGGGTACTTCTTGGAGACATCAAGTATAGCAGTCTGAATAGTAGAGTCCAGATTCACCTTGATTCCATCCAACTGAAGTTCTGAAGTCAAGTCAACAACATAACCTTCATTCTTAAATTTGACACCAGATGTTAACTGATGGGAGTTATTGTAGAGGAAGTCCAATACATTCAGTTCACAGTCTTTCTCAGTTGTAGGTCTGGTTCCATCTGATGAAACATTCCAATCTAAAATAAACAAGGATGAGGTACTGGCCCTCTGTAGCAGGTAATCAAAACCTGCACCTCCATCTTGAACAGGTATACAAAGTACTGGCCTTCCCCTAACCTGTTCATCCAAGATTAAGGCGTCTGTGAATAGATCAAGGTTGATATCCTTGTCAATCATCAGAAACACTTCAGCCTCAGCTTCCGGTCCACCGGTAACGGTAGACTGCTCCTGGCCTTTGTCTTCCGGATTAGGGTTCTTGATTACAGATTTATCTGAATCCCACTCGGTATTCTTTATGGACTGGGGAAAATTTTGCTCCATGTGAGAAACATCTTGCCATAAAACTTGCGAACCAAAAGAAAAAATTGCTTGCGAACTCAAAGAAACGGCTTGAGATGAAGAATGCGAACAATGAGAATCGACTGGCGATGAAGATGAGGATTCTTCTCTCACTCGTTTTGCCTTCTGTTGCGAGTTGTTCGCGGAGGGAAATACCTGCAGACTGAGATCTGCTGTTGCGGTTTGCTGCTCGCTTAGCGACGATTCCCGCGAACTGAGAGAAGCTGTTCGCGCTAGTGAATTCTGGATAACCATTCGCGACTCAGTTTGCGAACTGGTGAACGATTCCGTTGAGCGATGTCTAGGGCTCCTCGCTCGCAGTGCTATGTTGCCCATCTCTCCAGGATGCGAAATATGGTGCGAGGTGTGCAATCGATTCTTCGATCGACTTTGAAGTTTGTTTTGTATTTCTGCGATGGTAGTTTGCATAGTGGCCATCTTCCTTGCCATATCTTCTTGCCTCGCTGCTAACTCCTTCTGATTTCTTGCAAAATCCGTCAAGTTTCTTTCTACCTCTGTGATACGTCCTTCAATCTTAGTACCAGTGTATTTCATCCAGCGACCGACGCTCTCTGATACCACTGTAAGAACTCTTCCAGGTTTGTATTGAAATCTAGTAAGAGAATAGTATTCAAGAAACAACTGAAGCTTTCATTAATGGTGGAAACTGTACAGAGAACTCCCAAGAAACGAGATACCAATATCTCAGCTTCTCCCAGCCCAGAGTCCAACTGTCTAACCCCCCCTCCTCTATTTCCCCCAGTCTATTCTATTTATACTACTCTAGCTATTACTCTTCTTATTTACTCTTATTCTACCAGGTCCCTAACAGCTTATCAGCCAACTTTTTAACCATACATGTAACTTTTGATTTTGCGTGCTGAATTGTGTAATAATAAGAAAAAGTAAGGTTGACGTTACTTTTTTGGCTGTATTGGATGAAGTTATTATCGATGACCATTTTAGCTATTTGTTCATATAATTTTTTCTTTATCTTATTAATAAAATATATTTTAAATATAATTTATTCATAAATCAGCAGAATCAACCAATACAATCATTTCAGACAGAACTTCATAAATTTCAGCAGAATTCGCCGTTTAAGCCGATTCCAGTGTTACCAAACGGGCTCTCAACTTGGTAGTTGCAAGACTAGTTTAGACAGGGAGCCAACTCCAAAGATATACTTTATTCCTGGGAATTAGCTCTTATTCCCTGTTTTTTGAGTTTTGTCTATTCTAGAAATTGGAGTCACGTGCCTTCTCTATCAATGGGCTTTACCTAATCCCAGTCCTCCCAGATGTCATTTAATTTAATTCATCCATTTGAGTAATTCAATTCCCTCCAAAATCAATTGAAAGGAGGTCACAGTTTTTGAAATGGCTGTTTTTATGAATCAGGTGGGACCGGTTGTACTCCAAGGGACAATACTCCTGAAGCTACCAAAGCTTTGATTCAGAAAGAGACACCCGGTCTTCTGCATGTCATGATGCAGGAGAGCTTAAAGGTAAAAGAGAAAATGATCTCACTTGAAATAATTCTTATTTATTGTACTTTTCATGCTAATGAGATATTTGCTAAATAAGGGTGTGCCCTGTGGTCCGAGTTCTTTCAGTTGAATTTTTAGTCTTCATACGTACCTTGAATTATAAGCTATTCAAGATTTACGACTCAACCTCAAATTCTAATGTGGCAATGAATTTCACATATTGCTTGATGGTTCATAGCTTATTTGAACAAGTTTGGGGTATCTTTATCTCTTACGCATTCCAGAACAAAAGAAAATCATATGAAACATGAAATGGTCTAGCTGGAGTCTTCCATTTTAAGCCTTCTTTATATTTATATTTTTCAGCAACATGAGAAATAATTTGTAATACAATGGAATACCTCTTTTTGCATAATGTTTGAACTGGAACCTCGAGCAATAACATACAATTCCCTCATAAACTTCTTTTACTCACTAGTTTAGAATCTATTACCGTTTTCCTGATATCAAACTACTATCAAAGTAAACTTGAACATGGGTAGTTTCCATGGTCGCTCTTCTGTATTTAATGACTTCTTTCTCCCTATCTCTGTATCTAATTTGATTGCTATTCTGGTGACAACTGTAAACAGGTCACACCATTTGCAATGCTCTCTCGCTCCGCAGCCGGCATTAGAGGGTCGACATTGGTAAGGCGATAAGTTGATTTGTTCTCCTTCCCAATTCCCCCTCCCCCCGTTTTAGGCAATATTTTTTGTCCCTATAATTGTCATTTTTTTGTCCCTATAATTTCCCAAATCATTATTGACTTTTCTTGTATTGGATCTTTTTGTGCCTTGAAACAAGTAAAACGTATTTAATGGTAAAGATGTAATGTTCCTCAAATATGTGCACTTTTCCAAAGCGTCAATTTAATTGGGATGGTGAGAATGTTAGGGAAAAGCAAAGAAAATATCAAAATGAATAAATAAATAAAATGACCATGAACAAATAAATAATTACATTTATTTAGGTTAAGCAGAATCTTTAGTTTCTCCCACACCCCAATTTTCCTTTCATTTCCTTTTTGTATTCCACAATTTCTTTCCCAAGTATTTTTATAGTCCAAACGTTTTCTAAATCATGCATAGTTGCATCTGAATCCTTGGAAATGATTTTCCTCTTTATAAGCCCCACTTTTTTAATATGAAAAGTGGAAAATATAGTTTGGCTGTGCCAAGGAGTCAATTCTCTCTTCTTGCTTTCCATGGTAAGTAACCATGGCAACCAAACACAGCTTAAATTCTTTTCGTGTATGTTAATATTGCCATGTCGGTTTATCTTCACAGATTATAAACATGCCTGGGAATCCTAACGCAGTTGCCGAATGCATGGAGGCACTACTCCCTGCACTTAAACATGCATTGAAACAAATCAAAGGCGACAAGCGAGAGAAGCATCCTCGACATATTCCACACGCAGATGCAGCTGTTGTTCCTGCAGATACTTGGGAGCATAGTTACAAGTTAGCTTCCAGTGTTGGTGAAGAGCCCTCTTGTTCATGTTCACACTGAAGGTTTTACCGCATCCAGGTGAAGAGCCTAATATTGTAATGAGATGTAAAATAACGTGGACATTTTGAAGTTTAGATGTGATATTTTTCTGTTTAGGTAAAATATAGTTTTGATACCTAAACTGATCCCTTAATAGTGCATTATTGGCAAATGTAATTCCTAATTGTATCAAATTATTGTATGTCTAGTTATCTGATATTCTGATCTAATACTTGCGGCTGTGTTTGTTTCTATTACGCATTCATTTATGCTTCCTACTTGCGGCTTGCGAGATTGTGTCAAGTGCTATTTAACTCAAATGAATATAGAGAATGAATTCTGACCCTGCGTGGCTGCGTGGCGGCGGTGGCGGCGGTGGCTGAAAAGTGAAAATCCTGAAATGATATTACCGAATCGGCGGCTGAAAATGTTCTATCGAGGCATTGAGCATTCATTTATTGAAGATCATATGATCTGAACTTTTTATTCATTTTAATGCATTAGCTTTGCATGATCGGTTGTTGCTAGGCATGGACCGGTTCCGGTTCGGGCCCAGCCGGGCTTCGGTTCAAGAAGGGGAGGCCCGAAACCGGCCCGGGTAACCCCCGGGTCCGGGCCGGGTTGAGCCGGGCCGGGCCTCGGTTCTATTTTTTTTTTGGCTTTTCCTAGTTAACCTCCAACCCTCCTGCTCACCCCCAAACCAACCCTAAACACCTCAAATGTCCCAAAATACCCACCCCAACCCAAAAACTTTAAAAAAATTCAAAAAAAAAAAAAATTGGCCCGGCCCGGGCCCGAACCGGCCGGGCCGGTTCACCTTTTGAAGGGCCTGAGCCCGAACCGCCATCCCACCGGGCCGGTTGGCCCGAACCGGACCCGAAACCGGTTCACCGGCCCGGCCCGGCCCGGCCCGCACAGTAGCGGGCCGGTCCGGTTTCGGACCGGTTGGCCCGGCCCGAGTCCATCCCTAGTTGTTGCTAACCAATGTTCTAATAGTTATTGTCCTAAATAGGATTATAGATGCCATAAAAAGCACAAATATGACTAAACATTGATTTTCTACTCTAAAGTCTAAATACCCCTAAGGGTATTATTTCTTAAGGAAATGTTTTAATTCACAATAAAATCATAAAAAATTGTAAAATAATAATAACAATTAATAAATATTTATAAAATACAAATTTTATTTTTTTTATTAAAAAATAAAAGAATAGTAAAAACCCATAATTTTTTTAAAAAATATGGATACGTTTCACACCGCTTCCCATCACCACCACCTTTGATCGGTGAAAATTCTACCACTTTGTAAAAAATGCATTTTTTTCTGAAAATGCCAAGAAAATGACATTAATACTCTTCATTATGCCAAGATTTTCATCGACTCTGCCATCATCATGCCATTACTAAAAGTGTTGACATATTTCCTCCGTGATGTAAGTTGGTGGCGCTAGGGGTGGTAGAGGTGGGGTGGTGTTTTTATACATTTTTTTTAATTTTATTTTATAAATATTTTATTAATTTGTTATTCTTTTACTACTTTTATTATTTATTTATGATTTTTTTTTTATTTTTTTATGATTTTATTATAACTCAAAACATTTCAAAAGCTATAAGGGTATATTTGTCCAAACACAAATAAATAGTCCTACGGGGGAATGTAAAAAGTGTAGTCCAGTTTGTGCAATTTTGCCACTTTGTATTCCTATTTAGGTAATTGACTCATGTTATAAAGCCCTAAAAGCATGTGACCAATTTAATTCGGAAACATATAGAACAAAACTGATTTTATGCGGACCGCTATAACTTGTGCATAATATACCGGTCCCAATATGGTGCCGTATCAATAATTAAAAACAATCTAATGTATCTTTTCTTCTTCGCCGACCTCTTCTCCTGGGCTCCTATTTACGCTACGCATTTACATCTGTTTGATTTCGCAGGGATCGTCCTCCTATTTTGCATGGATCCTCCTCCTATGCATTTACCCTTCTTTTCCTGCATCCCCTCTGCCCCTGCTGCAGGATCGAAACCGCGGTAGTCCGACATAGATCCCTCACTGAATCATTGGATGTTATTCCGATTTCTGAGAGATTGGGGTGAATCCTTGTTAGCACGATACAAATTAATTAGCTTTGCTTCCACCGACTAATAAAAGTTTTATGCTTCTATGTTTTAATTTTTAGAAAGATTGTGCTTTTCAATTTTTGAAACTTCCTGACCATATACACGAAGTTATGCATTAAAGAGATGATTTTTGTGTATTAATGATGTTATTGTTACTCCTTTAAATTTGATTCTGGAGTTACATTTGAATATTTGATAACAGATATATGGAGTAATATCTTATCATGCGTGAGTTACATCTTTTTATAATAACACAAGTTACATCACAAAATAAACTCATGCTATTTTTTTTGAACGAAAGTGACTTAAATTATGAAAACAGAACGTAAGCAGGTTACAAAATGACAACAAGTCTTCTGTTTGCCTTCCGCCCTAGAACCAGACTTAGAATTAATCATCTTCGTAGAAGCAATATAATTCGTTGATCCCGCTTTGGGCTTAACTGAGCCAATGACACGCAAACCAGACTCCCAGTCCCCTGTCCTAAGTTCTAAATTTTTATTGCTGAAAAAACAGAGCACAACCAAAGCACAGTACAGATCCAAATAAAAACGAAAAGTAAAGAAAGCTAAACAAGCAAAATACAAATGTCTATCAACCATCATGGTCGTCAGAAGCCTTAGGAGCTCTGGTGGGCCTGGAACCCAAAGCCTGCCTTTCCCGTTGTTGGGGTCATCAAGGGCCATTGTCTCCCCCACATCATCACCCTGTTCTTGTTCCTCCCATGTACGTCTTCTTTTCGGATCTTCTGGACCTCCTCCTGTCTGAGCCGCTTCTAAGTCGGTAGTAGTCACCATCCATCCCAACTACTGTCCCTTGTCAGTTGGGTCTAGATCATGTGTTGCCATATCCATACTTGTCTTGTTACCGTCGCTTGCTGAAGAGCTTCCCTCTGTAGCCAGCCACTTGCTTCCTAGGGATAGTCGAGCCTTCCTTCCTCCCGCCTGCAGCCACGAGCCAAGCGGCTCAGCCAAATCCTGGCTTCCTTTTTCATACAAAAAGGACAAAATTTCTCTGCATGTCCAATAACTCCAAACTTGGGAGCTTTTCATATTTAAAGTGAACCCAATTTTGAGAGGGTTTCCTACATCCATTCAAATTCTTACCCACATGTAAGCCTCCCATTTTTTTTATCAAACTCATTGTCATCCCATCTAACAAATTTCCCTAGATAATTCTCAATTCTCCTAGCAACTCCAAGATTAGCATAATTATACGACACATTGTGTACTTGTACCCAGAATTCAACCGAATCCAAAGAGACCTTAAGCGGGATATCCCCTGGCTTAATGGCTCTTAACACTAGCAGATTCTGGTCAAACAGCCATGGCCGGTTGTCTAGTACATGGTTCATATCAACATAATGAATTTTTTTGATAAGGTACCTCTTTTCATCAATTTCCTTAATCGAGACCCCTTTGCCTGGGTGCCACAAAGCCGCCATGAGGTCATTGAAAATTTGAAACCGAACCACTTTGTCCGTGAGGAGCATCCCTACTACCGGGAATTCCGCCGCTCGATTTTCCTCCATCGCCGTCGCCCCTTCTTCTTCGTCATCGATCACCAATTCATCCGAAGTTTCACCAATGTCCAAGCCAACATACTTCTCAATCAATTTGTCCTTAGGAGTTTCACCAATTCGTTCTTCCCTCCCCGCTTCCTGCGAGATGGTATCCATTCAGCCTACACAGTGATACGCTATGACGTTCAGTTGCAAACGTCTTCCGTACTATGCAAAGCACAACCGCCGTACCAAGGGACGACAATAGTCGAAACCCTATTCAAGGGAGATATCCGTTTCTTTCTAGGATTCAACTCATGCTATTAAAACAAAAAAGATGCAAAAAAAGGTTTTTTTGGCAATTTTTTTATACATTTTTTACCCATTAATACTTTTAAAAGAGTACTAAGGTTAGAAGATTTAGATCACGTTTGAAACATCGAAGACAGTAGCCTTTCTTTTAATACTTCCTTCATCGTTTATAATTTTACCAAACTCCACTACACATGGAATAATAAAATGAATATCATCTTCATCAAAAATAAAATAAAATGAATATCATCTAATTAAAGTTTGTACAACTAAAAAAATACTCCCTCTTCTGCTAAGATTATCCTATCTTTTCTTTTTTATCCGTCCCACTAAATTTGTCTCATATCAAATTTGATAGAATTTGTGTGATTCTAAATGAAATTTACATTATTCTTATTTTATCAATTCAAAATCAACTACCCTCTTCGTCCCACAAACAAGTTTCAAGGTTGACTTCACGGGTTTTTAGGTAGCATATGAAATAAAATTGACTTTTCAAAAATGCCCCTAGGTAATTAAAAGATGTAGTAACCAAATGTGTATAATAAAGAGGGTAATGAATATTGATATGGAGTAATACATATCAATTCGATAAAGTGATGTAAGGATAAAAAGGTAAATAAATAATAAAAAGTTCCTAAATATAGAAAGAAGTTGAAGGTGGAATTTAATTGCTCCGTATTAAAACACAGTAATAAAAAGGTTCCAAGTATAGTACTCCCTCCGTTCTCTAATACTTATAACTGATATTTTGAATCGAAAAACCAAAAACCGAATCGAAAATAATTGAACCGCATTGAAAAAACCCCGAACCGGACCAAACCGATAAGTTTCGGGACCCGAAAATCGGGACCCAGAAAAGTATTGATTCGAAATCGGTTTACGTACTCGAATTATCGGTTTTGGACCAAACCGAACCGATTTAATAATAATAATAATACTCCGTAATAATTACTAGTACTAATGATGTTTACAAATGATATACTCCCTCCGGTTCCTATTAAAGTTCTCACTTTCCTTTTCGGGATGTCCCTGATTTAAGTTCACACTTCCATTGTAGGAAACAAAACAGTGCCAAACAGTGTCCAAACAGTGCCAAACAGTGTCCAAACAGTGCCAAACAGTGCACTCCACAGTAAAGTCAAATTTATTTTCTTAATCTGTGTGAAGTCAAACTGAGAACTTTAATAGGAAACGGAGGGAGTACTCCGTAATACTTCTTCGAGAGCCATATGAACACATGGGAAGCGTTAGTGTGTTGGATGCGTAGTGGATTGCCTTGCCAAGACCGGGACAAAATAAGAGGTTTACTCCTCACACACTTCTACTTTAGAATTGTGACCAGGAAGTCGCATAATACTACCTCCGTCCCGGTGGACTTTGACAAGTGCAAAGTAGGTGAGAAATAAGAATAGTAAAAATTGTGTGGTTAAGATTTGTGCAAAGGAGAGAGAAATATGCAGAATCACATATCAGTTGCTTTAATATGAAAGTGTCAAAGTTTTTTGGGACAACTAAAAAGGGAAAATTGGCAAAGTCCAATGGAACGGAGGGAGTACGTTATTTCGTATTTGAGTGGCCTTTAGTGGGCTCAATATTCTAGTATAAATATATGTTTGGCTTCATGGGCTCGATATTTAAATACCCAAATATATTGGGCTTAATGGGTCCAATACAAGTTCAAATTTAGTTTTTTTTACGATAATCGGTTTGTTGTGGTTTTCGACAAACCGACCCGAAAAATCGATTCCCAATAAATTGGAACTCGATCCACAAACGGTTCGGTTTTGGGTATATTAATTCGCATAATCGATATTTCGGTTCGGTTCCAAGTTTCTTTGGATCGGTTTGGGACACGAACCGAATCCAGCCATACTAATACTTGTCACTCTTTCTATTTTGGGTTGTTTTAAAGTGTCAAAAGCTAGAGCTACTCCATATTTCGGATAAAAAAGAAAAGAGTTAATTATCAAAATAGGACTAAAAGTCATTCACTTTTCACAAATAGGACCAAAAAATAAACTATGTTTCCATAGGACTAATTATGTGTACCTTGGACAATTATACCCTTATAGCTATTAAAATGTTTTAATTCCTAATAAAATAATAAAAAATAATAAAAATTCATAAAAAATACTAAAAAATTAAGAAAAACATTTCGATATTAAAAATTTAATTAATTTTTTTTTTCAAAAAATTTAAAAAATTAAAAAAAATTAAAAAAAAAAAAACTCAAAAAAAAAAAAAATCGCCGCCGCCTCTGCCGCCTCAGCACCACCACCTCCGGTCACCACGGGAAAAAAATGCCAAGTTCATTACGAATGCCATATTTATGGCAGAAAAAAATGAAAATGTTAGCATTCGAAAAGAGAAATATGCCACTTTTTTGGCATTTTCAGAAAAAATGGCATTTTTCTGGGAAAATGGCATTTTTTTCATCGCCCGGAGGTGGTGGTGCTGGGAGGTAGTACATGCGGTGGGAAAGACATCCATATTTTTTAACATTTTTTTACGGAGTTTTACTATTTTTTATTAATTTTTTTAAAAATAAAATTATTTAAAAAAAAAGTTTTTGAATTTTTTATTTTATAAAAATTTTAAAAAAATTTCAATTATATTTCTACGAATTTTTGAATTTTTTTCGAATTTATTATGAATTAAACATTTAATTATGGCTTTTGACTATTTTTAATTCATCTTTAATGGAAGGGTAAGAATGGAATGCAAAAATAGGTATGTTTCCAATAGGACTCATATGGTCCTATTTTAGAATAAAAACATAGCAAATCCTATTTTAGATTTTTGGCATGTTTTTAGTCCTATTTGAACTAATTTGTAAAAAGAAAAGATACCCCGTCTTTTCAAAAAAAGAAAAAAGAAAAGATACCCCGTCATAAAGTTAGATGCCTGGTTAAGCTGTTTTCTTTGGTGCCTTTGTAGTTCTTTATAAAAAACTATCCTTTTTTCACAAAAAAAAAATCAATTAGCCAAAGAATGTACTTATCGTCTCAAAATTTCAGCAAGGTAGAGAGTTGTATAGAGCTGCCGCCGAAGTGAATCCTCCTGTTTCCAGAGGTGAGTTTTTTTTATACTTCGGTTTCTCGTTGGTTTCATAGCTGTTGCCCTTTATCAATACGAAAATAACTTGTTCACCTGGCTAGACTAATCAAATTCAATATATTCAATCTGTATATAATCTTTGTTTACAGTTAATAGAATCTCCAAGTATGATGTTATAAATTATTGTTTGTTTGATTTCTTAAAAATTAATTGAATAATTATACTTTTCAACCGGCTAGTTTCGATGTCAAAAAAGTAAAATTTGTTTTTTTTTTACTTAATTTGGTTAAAACCTCACATTTTCAAAACCACATTTTTTGGAATATTTATCTTAAATTTTAATTCTTGGTTTATTTGAAATCAGCAAATCCGAATCAGCAATTCGAAAAGATAATTTTAGTGGTGAACTACATAGTTAATTAGTAGGATACTAGGGTCCTTAGAATGGTGTTAGAATTGTTTTTTTTACTCTAGGGGGTCTGGGTGAGGGGGCTTGGGGAGGCTGTAGTAATCAGGCCGAAACTCACTCCATTGAGTTTCAAACCCTTTATGTGCCTAGCGGGTTTCGAACTCTAGACCTCCTACTAGGCACGGTAAACTCGCAAATAGCTGGGCTGGAATGCTTGGTTTGCTGTTAGAATTGGTTACTTTGATTAGAATGTCATTGCTAGGATAGAAAGAATGAGTTAAAAGGGGATTAAAACTAAAGAAACGATGTTAGTTCAAAGCAGAAAAATAATAAATTTGGTGAGGATGTAATATGTATTTGGGCACATTTGGAGCCCATTTGTTAACACTAAAATTGGCTGAATTGGCTTATTCTGCTGAAATTTATGAAGTTCTGGCTGAAGTGGTTGTATTGGCTGATTCTGCTGATTCATGAAAAAATTATATTTAAAATATTTGTTATTAATAAATTAAATAAAAAATTATATGAAAAAATAGCTAAAATGATTCTCTACAGTAACTTCAGCCAATACAGTCAGAAAAGTAACTCCAACCTTACTTTTTCTGCTTATCACAAACTTCGGCACGCGAAATCAAAAGTTACGTGTTTGGTGAAAAAGCTGGCAGATAAGCCGAAAAAAAGAATTACCAAACAGGCTCTTGGTGTAATTGTATATATAGTCTGTATACTTCCAGAATTACTAAGGAGTCTGTATACATTTGGTGAGGTAAGAACATTGCATCCTCATTAAGTTTTAACTTACTCTGAGGCTTATTCCATTTTATCACCAAAATTTCCAGTCGAATGGGTCTGAAATTCCGGGGTATAAGACTCTCTCCATATAAGACCTTCTCAACCTCCCAGTCTTTACAGGCAGATAGACTCTCTCCATCCAATTTTGGGAGTATAATTTATTTCTAAAAATTATATTCTCGGATATTGGGGAAAGAGTACCAGAGCCCCAAACCGAATCCGTATATGTTTTCCAGATATGCCAGCAGATTATACCTGTGAGATTATGCCTGAAAATGTCTGAATTTTTTTTGTTCCCGGCTTTAAGCAACCACGCTAAACTATCTGCTTGATAGAATTTGTCTGATAATGGGCAGTTATGCCAAGTATACCCATAAAATACTCTCAGATGGGTCTAACTTTTTCACAACTGAAGAATAGATGATTCATAGAGTTCTCTTTAACATTGCATCAAGGGCAAATAGATGGATTCAAGAGACACTGAAATCTGCTAAGATTGTCAGTATTAGGAAGAATTCCTTTTTGTAGCTTCCAGCCTTCCATTGAAAAAGTTTCACCTGCATAGGCAGCTTAGGATTCCAGGAGTGTTTTCATGCCCTTTAAATACGACGTTTAAGCTGGTTTTATTGCACCATTAAAAAGATAGAGGTTTTCTGATAAATAAGATGAAGGTCAACAGCGTTGATTGATTATGTTAAAGTTCATCCTGCAACTCTGAAAGTGTATTATATGGGTTTCTCAATTCTGATCCCAACTCTTTTGACTTATTTTATCTTGATACATTTGTTGTGCCCACAATCCACACCATACAAAATAATATTACCTCTCAAAAAACAAGAACACTATTTAGCCAGTGTACAACTTTTTGAAGTTTGGTATAGTTCAAATCTCATAAATTAGCTAATCACACCTATTTTTTTTTCTAAATTTACTTGTTGATTAACTAATTTTGTCCTAGTGTGTACCTGGTTTGTGATTATTTTAGCATAACCCGTAAAAGATTGGCTTTGTGTGATCGAACTTGACTTCTTTTGGGGGGACAAATAAAGCATTTGAAACGGCTCCTCTTGTTTTGGGACAGACGAAGGACAGCATGGCTGGTGAGGAGAGGAACCTAATTGAGATTTTAGAGGAGAATATCCCTATAGACTTTAACAAGTACATCACATATGTTCAGTCACCAGAATGTGGTGCTATAGCCACTTTTTCTGGTACAACTCGCAACACATTTGAGGGCAAAGAAGTGTTGGAGCTAAGGTACGAGGCGTACACTCCGATGGCAATACGTTGCATTCAAACTGCATGCTCGTCTGCTCGATCAACATGGAATCTCAACTTGATTGCTGTTGCCCACAGACTAGGACCTGTGGCAGTTGGGGCGACAAGTGTGTTTGTTGCGACATCATCTGTGCACAGAACAGATGCATTGGATGCTTGTAAGTTTCTGATTGACGAGATTAAAGCGTCTGTTCCAATCTGGAAGAAGGAAGTGTATACTAATGGGGAGGTTTGGAAAGAAAACAGAGAGTTTCTAGACAGAAATGCTGAGAAAATGACACAAAATGGGAGCATTAGTGAGAAAAGGGGGTGCTGCTCAGGGGCAAAGGTGAGAATTGAGTGATGGTCATAGTTTCTGCCTTTTTCTTTTCCAGGCATGTGGAAGTAAAAAGTAAATAAAAACAAGTACAGTTCGAATACACTTCAGACTGAACTAATCCAGATCTTAATTTAGTTTTCTTTAAGTAGTTCCAGATGCTCTCTTAGACTATTTTTAAAATGTATTATGAGCTGGACATGTGGTGGTGGTGATATGTTGACAGTTTCTTGGTCCAAGTATATCTAATATTTAAGCATGACGTGAAAGTATAGACCAAATAATTATGTACGGAATATATTTTTAATTTGTCAAGTAATTTTAAATTTATGTAGGTAATATTTGGTGATACTCCTATAAGATAATCCGGGGCGGAGCCAAGAGGGTCGAGGTGGTCAGCCGACCCCCCCCCCCCCCCTCCCCTCCCTCGAAAGTTTGATAATATAGAGCACCGAAGTACTTTCGAATTCATATATTGCGACTCTCTCGCAACTCATTAGGAGTAAAGGGTTATGACTCCTGAAAAAAACAGTATTTCAAACAAGATTAGATTGAGATAATAATAAAATGGGAAATTACCCTAAATAGGACTAAAAACGTTTGTGTATTCCAAAATAGGACTATCATGTTTTTATTTTCAAAATAGGATTAATTACTGCCATGTTTTGGCAGTACCAGACTTTAAATATGGCAGTATTTTCCAAACTTGACAATAATTACTCCTATTTTGGGAATAGAAACATGACAGTCCTACTTTAAAATTTTCAATTTTTTTTACTCCTATTTCGGGAATTTTCCCTAATAAAATTTACATATACTAGACATTTAATAGATTAGATTTAAATGAATTAGACAAGACCAGAAAATAGCATTTTAATCAAAGTGAAAAGATTTATATGCTCCATTATCCATGTAAAATTAAATCTTCCAAACCAAATGCTTCCCAAAAGTGTTTGTGAATAAAAAATAGAATACAATTAGGTTGGAATGAAGGATAATGAATTAATGACTAAACATTTGATATAAAACATTTATGTTCTCCATTCATTATCTATGAAATATAAAATCATCCAAACCAAATGTTGCACAAAGTGATGCATTTTTTTATCTAATCTCGCTCTTTAAATTGGGACCATTTTGAAGAAAATATCTATCTTGTCAATAATAATCACATAATATTGAAATACTGCTAGTCCATATTCAAGATTGAAATTTCACAAACAATAACATGCATATTATTTCCTCTATTTTCAATGGACAAATATATGACTAGATATTAATTTGAATAGAAAGTGACCAGATCGGAAATTTTGATTGGGATTTTTTTTTTGATTGGATTTTTTTTTACAGTAAAAACTAGACCCAAAATTTTGATTCATGCCTAGCCTCTAGTACCGCAGCCAGCAGTCTCAGGATCTTTCATTTCTGGTCATTTGGCTAATAATCCCAAGTTTTCCGTGTCTAGCGACCTTGCCCTGCTTGTCTTAGTCTCGAGGCTAACTTTGTAAGTTCAACTCTTGGGACTTGCTCTGTCGATCCTGGTCTGAGGTTCGGTCTTATAGGTGTTGGGCCTAGCCCTTGGCTAATATACTTTTTTAATATATTTAGTCATGTTAAAACACTTTTAATTGGAATTATTTCAATTTAGATCAGATCAAATCAGACAAAATATAACCTAGATAATAGAAAAATAACATAAATATATATCTACTAGACCAGTTTTGACGAATTCAAACCAGAATAAATCAAACTAAACTTAAAGAGATCAAACTACATCAGAAAGATTCAGTCTGATCCCATGTCTCATACTTAATATGGAAGAAAGCTGTATTTTTGTAACAATGTTAATGGGATAAAAACACCATGGGTTTAGCACAACCTGTTATTCTGTTAAATGTTGATCACAATATATAAATATACTTATGGTACCCTTCATCACAATTATTAGAAACTAAACTTTTAAAAAATGATTAAATTGGCTGTCAAGCCACATTAATTCGACGTTTCAAACAAAGCAATAGACAAACAAGCTTTTGGTATTGATTAATCATTTAATGATAGAATTAATTATTTGCCCAAACAATCCAATTACTAATCTAAAAGAGACAGAGAGAGATCCTTCACTTCACTTCCTCCCTGCCTAAGTTTCATGTCTTCCCATAGCTGCTCCTCTCGCCACTTCTCATGGCTGGTGAAATCTTGTATTCCCACCACCACCCAACACCACCGCCATTGCCCCGCTCCTCATCCTCTTACCGCTCCTTCCGCCGCCGCTGCTATGCTCTGCCAAACCACCATTTCTTCCCTACCCGACGACCTCCTCCTAGAATGCCTATCCCGGGTCTCGCATTCTTGTCTTCCTTCACTGCCCTTGGTGTGCCGTCGCTGGTCGCACCTCGTCGACTCTCCGACATTCCACTCCCTCCGCCGCCGCTGCGACCTCCTCCGCCTCACTCTCTTTGCTCTGTCCATTTCCGACCATTCTCTGCTCTTCTCCGCTAGTCTCTGCTTGGGTTTTGAATCTGTGTGGAATGTTTCATCTTTTCTTCTTGCAAACGAAGGAATTCATCAAGGGACGGTTTCCTCCCTCTTCTCTCATTCTCGATTGGTCGCCATTGGCCGGAGAATTTACGTCATTGGCCGGACGGCGATGATTTGTTGCGACACGTGGACCGGGACTGCCGCCTCCTTACAGGGGCCGATTGCTTCGAGGAAGAAGTTTGCTGCGGCGGCCGTGGCTGGGAAGATATATGTGGCCGGCGGCTGTGGGCGGACGGATGCGGTGGAGGAGTATGACCCGCGGAATCGGAAATGGCGCGTGGTGTCCACGGCGTCCAGGAAGCGGTACGGGTGTGTCGGGACGGCGGTTGACGGAGTCTTCTATGTGATCGGCGGACTGAAGATCGGGTCGTCGGGGAATGAAGGGGTGGTTGTTCCTGGCTCACGCGCCGCCGGATCGGATGCAGCACATTTGTACGCGAGCTCGATGGATTTGTATGACGTGGCGTTGGGGCAGTGGCTAAGGAGCCGCACCGTCCCCGGCGGCGGATGCGTGGTGGCGGCTTGCGCCGCAGGCGGATCCGTTTATGTTCTCTCGAGCCACGCCGTGGAACTCTCGTTCTGGAAATTCAACGGTACGCGCAAATCGAGCAGCTTTGGGGAGTGGTGCAGGCTAACGTCTCCGCCGCTTCCGGCGCAGGTTAGACTGGATAGCACCGTGAGATTCGGCTGCGTAGGGGCGGGAGGAACGGTGGTGCTGATCCAAGTGACGGGCTGCATCGACGACTTGCTAAGGCGGAGCGGCAGAAGTCAGAGGGGATTCAAGGAAGGACTTGTAATGGTGTACGACTGCGCCGCTGGGGAGTGGAGCAGGGGGGCGGATTTGCCGGAAGGAATTCGACGCGCCGCCTGTGTGACGGTGGAGTGCTAGTTTGCGCACGTGGAGATGCGCCGCGATGCGCCGTTTGGGCCTTTTGATGCTTTGAAGGGTAAATTCGGGCTGGGCTCATTTTTCATCGTAGAGTCAAAGCATCTGATATTTATGTCGGGAAAAATCAATTGTTTATCACGCCAAATAATGGTGTTAATTAATAAAGTTAGTACTCACATGCTTCCTATTTTTTTTTTCTCTCACTCTTCTCTAAAGGAAAATTGTGCACTAATATTTTTCCTACTAATGATATTTGTAATTGTAATTAAACTAGGTTCAGTCTTTAAACATATCGAACTAAATTGGATCGGATCGGATCCGATCAGATCAAAGCATACTAGATTTCAATCTGATCAAAACATTTTTCAAATAGTGTGACATTTTTATCTAAATTAGGGTTTAATGCACTAAAGGTTCATGTGATTTAAAAAAAATGTATCAAACTCCCTTATGTTTATAGATATTCATGCGCAAAATCTCTTTTATGAACAAATTTAATTGCCACCAATTGAAACATGATTAGTATTTTTATATAATTTAGACATCTTAACAAAGTTATTTACATATTCAATCATATTATTAAGATAAATGATTTCAAATTTGTAAAATTTGTTCATGAAGGAAGCTAAGCTTTGCGCATTAATAATTACTTTGTATAACACAAGAGGATTTGATGCATTTTTTTAAATCACAATGTACTAATGCATTGAATTTATATATCATAGGAGGGTTTGATGCATTTAAAGCATTTAAATTATTAAAGAATTTTGTGTTAGTTTTGTGATTTATCTGTAACAAAATTCGCAACAACCATGTTACACACTTTCCTTAACAATGTTTCGTAGCAAAATCCGTGTTTTTTGCAGTGTTACACTATGTGATAATAGTTCCACACTTTAGTTCAAAGTTGAACCACCTATTCTTATAATTAGAACATACTATCCCAAAATTATTACTATACGTTTGAATTATTTTAGTTATCCCTAATCATTATACATATTCTTCGATGACTTCTTTACATATGTTTCTTATCGATCCATAGGATTGTAAACGAATCAAATAATTTGTGTTTGATTCGCGATTCGAATTCGTATAAGATGATTCGAATTCGGAAAATTCAAATACAAATACAAATAAGAATATTAAATTTGATTCGAGTTGTTATCAAATACAAATAAGAATATCAGTGTATTCAATTCGAATATTAATCAAATATATTCGATTAATAATAATGATAATATTAATGTCAATATTATTATTAATAATAATAGTAATAACACCATAATAACTTTTAAAAGATAACAATACCCTCAAAGTGTAGCCCATATATACACTTTTGCATACAGGTTCCAAGATCATTTGTAATAAATCAGAATATAAATACGAATACAAATCAATTTTTTGGTTCAAATGTCTTTCAAATACAATACAAATAATAATGTATTCGATTTGAAGAACAAAATTGGAGTTATTTGACTTTGATATATACAATTATCAACTTATTTCACATATTATAAGTATATATAATTTCTAATATGTGTGTGTTAGTGTATATTTCAAAAAGTTTGAAATAGATTTATATTTATTAATCATAAAATTAATTCACTTTAGTATATTGTGTACCATCTAAAAATGCATTGATCCATTAAACTTAAATTCTAAAAATACACATTAAGTCATAGCAAGCATTTACAACATAAAAAACACGGAGTATAAGAAAAGTTTTTTTAGAGTGATATTTGACTAATATTTAACTTATACTCAAATTGATTCGATATTCGTATTTGATTCGTTAATTATTCGTATTGTTAAACAAATACAAATACAAATCAAAATTAATATTCATTTCATATTTGAATTCGAATTCGTATTCGAAAAAATTAAACAAATACAAATACAAAATCTCATTATTTGATTCAATTCAGTTCGTATACAACCCTAGTAACATAGCCTTATTCTACTAGGCATTTTTAAATTTAGAGCCTGTTTGGTATTAGTGTTTTTCGGTTTGCCAGGCTTTTCGGCTAACTTTTTAACTAAACATGTAACTTTTGATTTCGCGCGCTGAATTATGTAATAATAAAAAAAAGAAGGTTGGAGTTACTTTTCTGGCTGTAAGGAATTGACCATTTTAGCTATATTTTCATATAATTTTTTCTTTATTTTATGAATAAAATATATTTTAAATATTTTATTTTCATAAATCAGCAGAATCGGCCAATACAATCACTTCAACTGGAACTTAATAAATTTCAACAGAATCAGTCGATTCAGCCAATTTCAGTGTTACGAGATGAGCTCTTAGTTTGTAGAAGATGGTATAGGCTATTGCACATACATCTTGATAATTAGGTGTTGCTTTTTTATAAATATGTGCTCAATCATTTGTGTGAATTGTTTATGCTTAATACATGTTGATCAGTATGTCTTATATGCTACATCCATCACTGATTCTTCATCTTTATTTATTAATTTGTTCATTTATTTAATTTATACAAGTGTTAAATAGAATTGATCTTATACATTCACACTTGTAATATACCATCTATATGCAGAAGAGAATCTAGACTTAGAGGCCAATGAAAGCCAAAATCTTAAAGAAAACGTACACCACAGCACGACGTTTATACTATGTCATATTTGACCGGCACGAGAAATAATTAAGTAAAAACTGTGTGATTGATATATGTACAGAGAAGAGAGAATCAAATTTACCACAAAGCACATGCTTATGTCACGAATTTTATTAAGTCAGGAATTTTACCACAAAGCGCAAGTTTGATATCATTAGCTACAACATACACATCTAGTTTGCCAATGGGTATGTTAATTCCCTGAAATCCAAGGTCTCCTAAGTCAAGAATTTTACTTCCATCTGCCGGTACAATCATTTACTGCCTACAAAAGTTAAGAAAGAAATATTGTACAACTTAAGGAAATCATTACTCCCCGTATGATGTTCTTCCTCAATAATGTGAAATGCCTAGAACTTGATTAAGATACACTAATCAAAACTTTTTTCCCTTTGATTAAGACTGTGTACATCCGACCCCCCCTTACCCCACCGTAGGTGGGAGCCTTTGTGGCACTGGGGTAAATGAAAATGAATGAAATGAATGTGCTAATACGTTGAATTTATATATCATAGGAGGGTTTGATGTATTTAAAGCATTTAAATTATTAAAGAACTTTGTGTTAGTTTTGTGATTTATCTGTAACAAAATTCGCAACAACCATGTTACACACTTTCCTTAACAATGTTTCGTAGCAAAATCCGTGTTTTTTGCAGTGTTACACTATGTGATAATAGTTCCACACTTTAGTTCAAAGTTGAACCACCTATTCTTATAATTAGAACATACTATCCCAAAATTATTACTATACGTTTGAATTATTTTAGTTATCCCTAATCATTATACATATTCTTGGATGACTTCTTTACACGTTTCTTATCAATCCACATACATAGTAACATAGCCTTATTCTACTAGGCATTTTTAAATTTAAAGCTCATTTGGTATCAGTGTTTTTCGACTTACCAGGCTTTTCGGCTAACTTTTTAACTAAACGCGTAACTTTTGATTTCGCGCGCTGAATTATGTAATAATAAAAAAAAAGAAGGTTGGAGTTACTTTTCTGGCTGTAAGGAATTGACCATTTTAGCTATATTTTCATATAATTTTTTCTTTATTTTATGAATAAAACATATTTTAAATATTATATTTTCATAAATCAGCAGAATCGACCAATACAATCACTTCAACTGAAACTTAATAAATTTCAACAGAATCAGTCGATTCAGCCAATTTCAGTGTTACGAGACCAGCTCTTAGTTTGTAGAAGATGGTATAGGCTATTGCACATACATCTTGATAATTAGGTGTTGCTTTTTTATAAATATGTGCTCAATCATTTGTGTGAATTGTTTATGCTTAATACATGTTGATCAGTATGTCTTATATGCTACATCCATCACTGATTCTTCATCTTTATTTATTAATTTTTTCATTTATTTAATTTATACAAGTGTTAAATACAATTGATCTTATACATTCACACTTGTAATATACCATCTATATGCAAAAGCGAATCTAGACTTAGAGGCCAATGAAAGCCAAAATCTTAAAGAAAACGTACACCACAACACGACGTTTATACTATGTCATGTTTGATCGACACGAGAAATAATTAAGTAAAAACTGTGTGATTGATATATGTACATAGGAGAGAGAATCAAATTTACCACAAAGCACATGCTTAAGTCACGAATTTTACTTAAGTCAGGGATTTTACCACAAAGTGCAAGTTTGATATCATTAGCTACAACATACACACCTAAATCAAGAATTTTACTTCCATCTGCCGGTACAATCATTTACTGCCTACAAAAGTTAAGAAAGAAATATTGTACAACTTAAGGAAATCATTACTCCCCGTATGATGTTCTTCCTCAATAATGTGAAATGCCTAGAACTTGATTAAGATACACTAATCAAAACTTCTTTTGCTTTGATTATCAAGCTAACTTTCTAATGCATGTAGCCTTCCATAGTCATCAATGCATGTAAAACTGATAAAAAGCTCAGCTCCTCGGCAAAACCCGCAAATTATAATATACACCCGGGTGGGTGTACATGTACACCCGGTTATTAAATGACGTGGCAATCTGATTCTTCTTCTGCCGTTTTCCTCATTCCCTCACTCCCGTTGCTTTTATTTATTTCAGCCGCCATTCTTTTTCATTTTTTAGCCTCCATCCCGTCATCCTAGTTCTTTTTATATTTGTTTTGTCTTTTTTATTTTACTTTTTCGTTACTTTTTTTCTCTTCTTTCTTTTTTCTTTTCGTTTGTTTTATTTTACTTTTTCGTTACTTTTACTTTAGTTAGTTTACATTTTTGTCTTTTTTCTTTTTTCCTTTACAGGAAATGTGTATTGATATATGTTCTAAAATGATTACTCATGGAGGTTATTAAAATGAATTGTGTGTTATACGATATTGAGTATACCCTATAAAGTAAATGTGCATTGATGTAACATTAATGAACATTTGAGCACATTGGAGATTTGAAATGAGCTTTTGAATTTTTCGATGCTCATTTTGTAAATTGTATATACTCATTCAGCTTTGGTTGTATGCTCATTTTAAAATGAGATGCATTATATTATTGATGGAGTATATGGCCCGGGAACCCCCGGTCCACAGACTCCTACTACTCCAATAAGGGCCCAA